ATAATTGCAATTGTGGCCCAGGACTTGAGTCCACCTGTCACGCAATCCTTACTGAACATTTCGAGACAGCGGAGGGCAGTTCACGCAGCGAACTATCAATATCTGGCGCTGATGCATGGTATGTACAAAACTTTAAAAAAATTCTCAAATCAAAGTGTAAATATGGCAACCATATTTATTTTACGGTTTGTATCCGCTTTGAACTGGACGATGTTGCATTTTGGCTTGTTTTGTTTCGTAAATAACCGTTAACATTTTCAAACCTTAGGTAACCTGAGCAGCAGAAACGAAAAATGTTGATCGAAGTTAACTTTTCATGCATTCAGATTGGTAACGATATTTCGTTCCCAAAGTGGTTTGTTGTCTTTTCCACGTGCGCATTTTGGATTTTTCACCTCCAATTGGCGTGACAAGTAATGGCGTATTTTTACCTCTGAGTCACTTTTGTTTGGGGTCCTAACATTTCATAGTTTGAGTGGCCCAAAACTTTTATTGGAGTTATTTGAGGAAGAAACCTTGTTCTTTCACTGGACTAACTTGATATAGCCCCATGCCATGTACCAAGGTGCGATTTTGCCATTTTTTTTGTCCGCCAAAATGAATGAAATATTGGAAAAAAACAAAAATTCCCCAAAAATTTAGATTGCAACGGAATCGAGCAAAGAACTCTTCAGACTGTTTGCAAATACCTGTTCTTTTCGTTAGGAAAATATTTGGTCACAACATACTGTTTATTTCATTTTCAAGCGACGTTCAAATAATCGCTGTCTAACTCCTCGTGAAGCTGACGGTGAGAGGCATAAAACCGATTTTGCGGCCGTTCGCGAAAAAAAAATGGCTTTGAACTAAACGTATTTTTTTTGTAGAAATATTTCACCCATACCTATATTCTGGCAAAGTTTGGGGATTTCGATTTTTTCATATGGCACACCTCCGGGCGCTGTTTACGGACGGCCGCTCTTAATACTCAAAACTTTCGAGGTTTTTCTATGTTAGATTAAATGGGAACAAACCTATAGTTAGCCAGATTTTTGGGCCAGCAGTGAGTTCCTAACTCATATCTTCGATTAGAAGACTTGTAAACAAACTTCCATATTTTTTCAAGGTTCTTCTATTGCA